TCATACAGCAGAAATGAATCATGGCTTCCTGTGCGAGTCGATCCATTTGAGTTGGTGGTGCGCCGTGAGATTTTTCTGATGTAAAATGGGTGCCGTGGCTAAATAGAGGTTGGGAAAGAATGGGTTCGGGTAATGCCACTCCAGACATTCTTTTCGGAAACCAACCTAAACTAAAACATTGGCAATATAGAAATAGTTGTCATTGTTTTGAATCATAAGCTATTGTCCCTGCGTGGTATGGTTTCTATTCGTTTTATTTTTGGACATGGTTCGGGTCAGGCTAAAAATAAAAACGGCAGCGAGCGTGGCGAGAGCTGCGAACAAAAGCAAACACTGGATGAAGACATTCCTCGTCCTTCGTCTGCGTGTCCGTTCACCCGAGCGCCTCCTACCAAACTCTTGCACCCAAAGCATGTTGGCAGTAATATTGAGTCTTGAACCAAAGTCGTTATAACAGACCAAATCCATATCATGCTGTATAAAAACATTTTTATTTGTATAACTTAAGTTATATAAGTTTTGTTTTCTTTTTGGTTAGTTGTTTTTTGTCCGGCAACACGTGAGACAACAAACCGCCATCTCCTTTATGGGCCCAACACAATCCAGACTCGTTTTCTATTCATAAGATTTCAAAGCAGCAGGTCCCTTTTAGAGTCAGTAAGCAAACACGCGTTTCGGAGTATGATTTGTAATTGCAACACACCATGAAAGTTCACATCAAGAGACCTTTGTGAAATGAATCCCTTTGTGACGAGTCAATAAACAAACCACAAAATGGTGGGCACATGCTGCTTCTATTGGATCGCTTATTGGCCAAGCCTGACTGGGCGAATATAATATAATACAATATTATACAATACAAAACAATACAATATAAGGAAATGCATGTTATCCTTGTGCTTGTGTTTTTTTGTTTTTGTTTTGGGGGGGGGGGGTGATGGGGGGCAGGGGGGTACTGTAGTTTAGTCCCACATCCATGGTCGATTTATTGGAGACTCTAAATTGTGCTTAATGGATGGATAGCGGTTCCTTAATTTCCCCCACGTGGAAAATAAAGTACAGTACAGCATATTGGATTTTGCAAACTCAAACTTGGGCAGTGATTTCTGAAATCGTTATTCTTCATATTTCATGATCAAGCCATTGTGGAAAAAGAAAGGTTCAAATTACAAGTAAATTGAAAGAGACAAAATTAGGGGTGTTCTGTCCCATTTTTTTTTTCAGGCCGATACTGGTACAGGTATCCACTCTTTGATACTGAGTGCCAATACTTGTAGTGCTTTTGATATATATAATTTAATTTAATCTGTGGTCGGTATCGGTGGCTGGTATCAGCAGCTTCCACGAAACCCGATACTGTATCCAAATGCCGATACCGATAGCTGGTGTCTGTACTCGCCCTTCTGCACCCAAAATGAAAACCACATTTATGAGCTTTATGAGTCTTGATGCAATAAATGTCGAACCTTTCCACGAGCAAATCCTTTCGGAATCGATGATCCTCTCTATTTTTCCAGAACCCGAACCCTAACCCAATTTATGTGTCCAATTGACAACTTTATAAGAGCATTCTTTTGAACCCGTGGTCCTCAGGATCTCAACAACTGACTCAGAGTGGTTTATGTCCCCAAGTTTTATGTGCCCCCTGCCTGGCATGCAGCTAAAATGGAACAGTTTGGTTGTCATGGATGGAGGACAAAACTGCAGAGGGTGGCGGTGGGGGTCGGGAGGTCTTTCTTGAAGCCAGCCTCAGCAAGCTGTGTGTGTGTGTGTGTGTGTGTGTGTGTGTGTGTGTGTGTGTGTGTGTGTGTGTGTGTGTGTGTGTGTGTGTGTGTGTGTGTGTGCGCACGCACTATGCAGAAACCAGCAAATGAAAACATTCCATCCTGAGAGACTTTTAGACAGAAGACGAGAGGAGATAAAGTCATTTGCTGGGAAAGAAGCTGAAAAGGCCGTCGACGACTTGGTCTCGGTCTTTTCATTTTTCACCATCCCAGTTGCCCGGACACGTGTTTTACGCTGTGAGCTGACTTGAAAGGCAGTGCCCAAGTCGGTTTCGGGATGAGATAGCAAGACGCTGTGGCAACTTGCTCTGAAGAAGTGAGAAAAATGTAACGAAGCGTTGCAACGAGATCAGTCGCGCTTTGAAGCCACGCGTTTAATTAGCAGCTCATGTGCTTTTTGTTACTCTTTATTTTTAACATATTGAGCATTTTTCGAAAACATGCCCTTGAAGCTTTCATAGCCATTACAGACAAAAGCACAGTCCCTCCCTGGAAAAATACATTTTAAATGGCACTTTGGTTTGTTTATTATTGTTGTTGTTGTTGTTGTTGTTTTTAATCTCCGCACATCTTGTGTCCCTTTCTTCTTATTTCTTTGTAGCTCTTTCCCATCAGCCGTGTCATTTGAAGGTGCCTAATTGAAGGCTTTGCCGAGCAAATGGCTACATTAGCCTTGTCCTGTCTGTGTATGCACTCCTTTGTATTGGTGTGTCTCTAAATACAGTACCGGCTGCCAATCAATTGAAACTGAATCAAAAGGTTTGTTTGTGTGTGGGGTTTTTTTTCCCAAGTTTCACCATGCCCGCTGGCACGGCAACAATGTGTGTCGGAAAACTAGATAAAACAGCTTGTTTCAGCTCTGTAACTTGCCCTGAAAATGTGTCAACCGCGGGGGAAAAAAAACATGTTTTTAATCACATGTTGAACTGTTTGACAGTTGAAAAGAAAAACCATACTCGCACATGAAGAAGACGCAGTTCACCGACATCACTTCAGCGTCGTTGAGTTGGTTCGGAAAGAGATTCGGTGCTTGCCTTGCATTTCTTTTATGTTCACCCATTAGCAGGGGGGGAAAAAAAAAAAAAAAAAAAAAAAAAAAAAAACGTCGGATTTGAACCCTTGACCTCCGCACGGTGAGGCGGGCGTGCTAACCAGTCGTCCGACGTGCTCGCCAGTCGCGCTGCTCATTCGGAAAGACTAAACCTTTAATTTTGGAGCAGTTGTCTGACACCAAAGTGTGAATTTAAAAGATGATCTGAGTCAGCTGCCGGCTTGTACAGCGCAGCTTGACGGAAGCAGCTGCCAGTGTTTGTTGAGAGTTGTTGTTGACAGGGAACTTGGGTTTGGTTTGGCAGGAGCGCACACTCGCTGCCATCTCAGCGTAAGACGCCTGTTGGCACATTCACACTTTTTCAAGAGATTAAACAAACACAACGTGGGGGAGGGGAGAGAAAAAGGTTTTGTCAAAGAATTCAGTTGGTGATAATGTGGGTGTGGTTTATTTTACAATGCACAAAATAAATATTGGCAATAACTATAAAGCAATGCATGATCAAATAATCATCTGTGAGCATCGCTGTAGTCACACAAATACTCGAGTCTATTTGGAGTTTGCCACGTTCCCACAAAGCTCCAAACACGAATTCATCTCACTACTGCCCCAAATATGTAATACTGTACTTGTATTTGCCACTGACCCAAAATTATTTTCCAAACATTGTGCATGGCTTAGCTGAATTTTACTGCTTCAGTAGGCACAATGGCAATAAAAACAGAGTCCTTCCGTATCAAACCGCAACAAAAACACCGCAATCGAGCCCGACTCTGCTCTAAATTTGAAAAGGATAACTGTGCATGTTTAAAAACGGAGAGGCACTCCATCCATACATCCATCCGTTTTCTGATGCGCTTTATCCTCACAAGGGTCGCGGGGGTTGCTGGAGCCTATCCCAGCCGTCTTCGGGCAAAAGGCTGAACCGGTTGCCAGACAATTGTTGGGCACACACGCAGAAGAACGACCAGTCTCGCTCACAATCACACCTGGGAACAATTTGGAGTGCCCAATCAGGCTGCCACGCATGTTTTTGGAATGTGGGAGGAAACCGGAGTACCCGGAGAAAACCCACACAGGCCCGGGGAGAACATGCAAACTCCACACAGGAAGGCCGGAACCATGATCGAAGCCACGACCTCTGCACTGTGAGGTCAACGGGGTTAACCACTGGACCACCGGGCCGCCCACGGAGAGGCACTGCTAAAGTAAATTGTCTTGATGCTATCTCTGCAGCGGCTCACTGAGGTCATAAGCTCATCTGATGTCATATGAGAGGTATCAGGATAAATGGGAGAACATCTCATCCAGGATTTCTCGCACAGAGGAAGATTGTTGCCTGTAAGGCGGAAGCCACTCGCCATCTTCCCCATCATCCAAATGGACATTTTGCAAAATTTGGACGGTCAAGCATCCGCCTCATCGCACAGCGTAGGATTGTTCCGTTATGCCGCGACAGCACATTCGCAATGAATGGATCGGTTGCTAAGTGCAGTGTGAAAGGGCCACTTTGATTCTCCTCCCAACTCCCCAGACAGTCTGTTTCATATTGTAGTTGTTATTTAGGTCACAGCATATTTTGGGAGGTTATTTCCATACACTGGAGACAAAAATCCCTCTATGGTAGCTGCTTGGTTTGTCACAGCTGTACTCGGCCTGAGTTTTGTTTGTTTCAGGGCCGCTTCGGTCTTGAATGGAAACCGCTCTCGCGTCATTAACTGTGAACATGCAGAAAGGCATCAGTAGGCAAGATGCTATCTTGTTATATCTATTAAGATGCAATAACAACAGACAGGAAGGCAGGATTAGTCATCATTTGTCTCAAATGTATTCCCTAAACATCCACTCGCAAGTGTTTCCAGAGCCAAACCTGACAAAAGTAATCCACGCCGACTGGTCTGAGATGTGACAGCTCCACTGCCCGCGTCGTGCAATAAGTTTTAACTCGGACGCAGTTTAGCGAAGGCCTCGCGGGGCTCTGTCAACAGCCTGATCTCCACATCAGAGCGGACTGGCGGTCGCGGAAGGAGGACAGATGCTCTTGTTTGCTTTGAAGAGTGGCCTCGCTGCACGCACAGTCGCACCAACGCTCTGTTTTCAAAGCGCCCTCATCCCCTCCGTTTAACACCTCGGCAGGGAATGCCGTCTGAGCAGCTGAGTCTTACCTTGAAAAGCAGCCAAGTTGCGCGAGATGAGAAACTTCAAACTGGAGCTGGAGGTCTGAAGGAGGTTTTCGATGTCCCTCCGCGCGGCAACCTGGTACCTCTCCTCCATCTTTTTGGTGCAACAGGTCTGGCTTTTAGACCTGCACACTTGAAGATCGGAGCCTGGGACATAAGGCAATATATCAGAATCGACATTGGCCAATTGTTCATATTGCGTAAAGCCTTTTTTTAAATGGTTTTGTTGGTTCATTGCCAAGAAGATGACTGTGAGTTTTGAAGCTTTGACATTCATAAGGCTCCGGGTTTATATGTGCAAATCGAATTAACCGTCGGTTTGAATGTGATAGTGAACGGTTGGACAATTTGGAGTCCTCAATTAACCCCACTTGCATATTTTTGGGAATGGGCGAGGAAGTTCGAGCGTGCAGACAAAATCCACGCTTTGGTGCAAACTTTGATCAAACTGTTGAACGTTTCCGTACTTTTTGGACAACTTGCTCTTCTCTAATGAGGAGCAGAGCTGCTAAATTCACAAGAAGGTGCTCGATGCCATGGAGCTGCAAAAGATTTCCTGGTTCACGGACAATTGTAATTGGAACAGCATTGTGACATCATGAGACCAAGATGACTCCTCACAAGTGATCACCAGTATTGTATGTCGCCCATTGCAGGTCTTCATACTGGATGGTCTCAGAGGGAAGTGGCCACTGAGCTTCGAGTCATCGGTAGATTGCAACGCAGATACGGTAAGAATGTGGAATCCACAGAATGCCGGAAAATTTGATCGTTTGGGAAATAAACAAACAGCACACCTTGTGAATTGTAACTCTTGTTCAAACTGCTTGTTCAACAGCAAGTTGTGCAACAAGTACTGAAACATTGGACGAGTTGGACATGTAAATTTAAAAGTTCAGAGAAAGTAAATTAAGTTCACCAGAAAAGATTTTAGCTCATATTTCAATCGAAACAATCGAAATTATATAAATTGGAGGGGGTGGGGGTTGCATTAACAGTGAGATTTTTAAAAAAAAAAAGGTCAAAAGAGGATGAACAGCAAAATTGTACAAGCATAAGGGCTAATGTGATGTGGAGAAAAACACTGACTGGAGCAAGAAAACCCAAACATCTTGATTTTGTGATAAAAGTGCCATTATCACGCCACAGACTGATGTGTCAGATTTTCCACTACAATCAAACATCAACAATCTGCGGTGCACCCTTGCAGGACAACTGGAACATCTTGAAAGCGAGCCGAAGCCCTACAAATGGTCCTCGGGCATGTTGAGACAGAGTGAAGAGAGACCATCAACTACATGTGAGGTTCAATGTGATGTGAGGGCAGACGTGGAGGAATTTCACCACGTTCCACAACAACATGAAATCGGTGCTCATCTATATTTCTGCTTGGTTTCATCTGATGCTACACGCACGTATACACTGTGGAAAAAAAAAAATTCTCATTGTTCACTTTTTCATAATCTGGGGGAAACCGAAATCATCTCTCTTGGACTCTTGGAATTTATGGCACTTCATTTCCAGCTCACACTCAACTTGCTCTGCATTTCACAAGTATATCTGATATTTGATGAAATCGTCATCAAGAAAATGTTGTCCATCTTCTATGTTTCCAATTGCAATTGGTCTTCGCAAAGGCACTCAGTTTATGTTTTAGCAGGTGTGCTTTCAGCTGAAGTGGTGATGTCCCAGGAGTTACCAAATGATATAGCTACATATCACGCGGATTTTTTTTTAGGCTGCAATTCTGCTAATCCGGCATCTTTGAGCTAAAATAATGTCAGTGCAGGTTTGAAATTGAGTTTTGAGGCTTGTTCTGACATTTGAATGTGCTACCACAACATATGAGTGTGAAAGGGAAATGTTGTGACGTTTGGAAGCAGCAAGTTGTCGGTCAATATGTAGACTAAAATGCATGTCAGCTTTTGTATCCAGTTCAAATTTGAAGCTTCATTAGGAATATGAAGACAGCTTTCACTGAAGCCTCATTGACCAAATCACTGCGCGTTTATCCTTCCAAAAAAAGCGAGTTCCAACAACATAACGCTTTCCAATTCGTCCAGACGCTTTGCAGTACAGTAACGTTATTTTTAATGTACATGATCGTATGGACAATAAACGTTTCAATGATGGCCCATGAGGATACGTTTAATCAATGGCAATGTAATATTTGCAATTTATTTACACCGATAGATACCACACACAAGACGTCCGATTACGGACAAACAGCTTTGAGCGTTGGAAAATGACAGGTTGACAGCAAACCATGCAGTCAGTGACAAGCGCTAATATCGTGGAAACCGTACATCCGAATGCAAACACGGTAGTGAGTTTAAATGGCTCAGTGTCCGTTCAAAAGCGTTCGCCGAGCCCGTGAAGCTCGCACATACCTGGCCTGGGATTTAAAGGCAGCATCTGGCTCGGTCCAATTTGCCGGAGGTGAAAAACTTTGCGCACTTCGTCGCATTTGTGCGGGTTTCCAAAGCAAACGGCGAACAAACTCGCCAGCAGAAAAGCGCGGCTCATCCACATCGTACAAGTAGAGAAAAGTGTTTGCTTAAAAGCAGTTCGGAGTGTCGCTTTCCGCTCAGGTGTGCCCCGACTACATGGCAACTTTTCGGGGAGGCAATGTCAAGGAGCCGATTGAAGAGGGCTTACATCCATTCGCATACAAAGTTACAGCTGTGCGAGTGGCGTGTCTTCAAATGGAACGCATTGCAAGTTAGCGGAGGCGGTTCCTGTTACCTGCTCTCACTCTTTAGCTGAGTGGTGGCCGACGGTGCGACGTCACCACCTACTGGATGAAAAGTGCAACGACATTCCGCCGCGCTCCCCCCCCCCTTCTGAAGTAGTTTCCAAAACATCGACTTAAATCAACAGGCAGTTTTTTTTTCTTGAAGCAATTTGTATGCAACGTGATGTGCATTCTCAACTACACTTGTAGGTGAATGCAGACCTCGACAATTCAACTGGACGAGAAAATCTGTCTGAGAGACGAAGGGGGGCGGAGGTCAGCACAAGTATTAGTTGGCAAACCATATTATAGTGACCTCTGATCATTATGTCAGAGTAATGACAAAGTCAAACAAAACAGAACAATTTTAACCATTTTTATTCACATGAGCACACATACAAAACATTGTGCCACTTGCATCCGCGTTCAACTGTTCAAGGTCACATCAAAACATCACGTGACGAATGAGGAGCAGTTGGGATCACAGTTCAGGTCTGTGTGGCCATATCCTCATTCTGATACAGGCCGGGACAAGTGCAATACCGCCAAAATATATAGCATTGCTACTAATCCCCACCTGCACAAGAAGGGACACCTCCACAAATCTGCGTTGTAAGCCATGTTCATAGAAGCACATGAACAAAGTATGGTGAGAATCCCACAAAATCCAAAGTGATATTTCATCCACCTAGTCAGTTTTGCATGGATTTGCACAGCAAACACCAGTTAAAGCTGAATGCAAACCAGCAAAACTGACCAGGCGATGATCAGCGTAACTTCGGATCGCTGGACACGCGCGTGTTGCATTCCAAAATGAGTCTGCTAAGTTAGAAATACTTCAAGTGCTTACATTGCAGTAGATTGAAAAAGAGCACTACCTGCACTATAAGCACTTTAGTACTGCTGAACCCACGGAGCATCTTGAGGAGACCTAGAAAACAATTCTGCCATTGCACTCGGCACAAGAAAGCATTTATTGCGAGTTGAGATTTCTGGGGATGCCACATCCAAAAACCAAAGATCCAAACAGGTGGAGAGCAAGCAGGCCACCATCAGTTTTGCATAGATTTGCACAACTCATCTATTCTTGTAGTGCAACTATGCAAAACTAGCAGAGAACTGCAAGACATTTGAGCCCAATTAGAAATTAGGATTGGTCTGGTGGCGCATATCACAGCCCCTTATGCCAGAAGGAGCACTTAGGGCAGTAGGTGCTAGTCTATTTCACTATCTGCACTAGATGCACCTTAGCACAAAGACAGTTCTGCAAAAGACACATGCAAGATGAGGGCGACTGGACACACGTGTCTGAAGATTGCTTTAAGTGCCTCCACTGCAGTAGGTATTGCACAGAACTACCTGCACTGTAAGCACTTTGACAATACACAGACTGATCGGGGTCTTGGTCGGAACGAGCTCGTGGTGGTGCTGCTTCCACTCCAGAGTGGCCCTGGAAGAAAAACACACAGGGTACGTGAGGATCGCTTCAACAACAGGTACAAATGAGCCGCATGTGCTCTACAAAGCTACTTCTGATCATACTTGTCCAAAACGTCGTGAGCACAATTATAAGCAAGTTGTTTATTTGGGACAAAATGAATGAGCGGCTCAAATCTGCGAGTCGCGTCTTTTGGGCTCGACGGGAGCGCGTGCGCGGGGAGTGCTGTGCACCCCTCCCCCACCGTCTTTAACATGGCGCCCGAAGTGCGCCAACCTCAGCGTAAATAGCTCTCAACTGACGCCACCCGAACGTACCATGAGAGCTGTGGCCGTGTGTGGTCTCATTCGGAGTCTCTGTCGCGCGTGTTGTGCTTTCGAATCCCTTTCCAACACAAAAGCCCCGCCGCCAGCGCGGAGAACGGGCAGCTGTGTGCTGCGCTGCTTGGAGGAGGGTTAGCTTAGCCGCGGCTAGCTGGCGTTAGCACGACGAAAACATGCTCAAAATGGTGACGCTTGCATCTTGCGCGAGATATCTTATCGACATCCATCTCAGCTGATGTGGAAAAGGAGAGACCAAGTTTTGGAACCAAATAGTTCGCGCTTTAAAAGTCGGGCTTGGGCTCTATTACGAAATGTGATGTTACACGTTAGCTAGCCCGACAACAAACACGCCCATTAAATTAATAAACCTACTGTTTTAAACTTTTCTACGGTGATGGGGGCAACAAACAACGCGATGCGTGTTTGACGGTCCACAGTTTGAGTTGGAACGGCTTCGGTTCGAACTGGAGTTGGGGCATGTTGAGGCTGCTAAGCTAGCAAGCTAAAGCGCGCGGCCTTAAGCCTGCCCCATGTGCTACTGCTTTGTTCTGGGGGCACTTTAACTCACACGCCACTGCACTCGAAATTGGCCAGCCAATTCGCCGCATTTTCACCACTTGCTGGTAAAAGTACAACATCGCCGCCCTTGTATTAAACTCACTTCTACCGAGTGCTTAGCAGTTTGAAGTAGTTGCGAAAGCGTAGCGACGATAGCTCGGGACAGCTTTTCAAATCTCCCTCATTCCCTCAATGGTGGAAGCTGAGGGGGCTGCCATGCGCCTCATGTTACACTGTTTTGTCGCCCAAACAGAATTTGCGCCAAACGCTTTGCTTTTTTTTCAACCACCACAGCCGTAAGATGCTCGCGCTAAACACCAGATACACTTGCGGAACATTGCCCATCTCAAGCCAAAGACTTAAAAACAGCCCAAAGCAGACTTCCTCGCGGATAGACACGCGCTCGACAGACACTCACCAGCCGAAATCCACCATCTTCGCTACTTGCTCTGGACTGGCGTGCACTCCGCCGTCGCAGACAAAAGCGGACGAAACGCGCAACAATTCCGCAAACTTTTGGACCCGCGGAGAGCCAAAAACGAAGGACGAGACGTGACTGGCGCTGATTGCGAGTGAACGTGCGGTCCCGATGCGCCGCTTGAAGAAGATTGCGGGCGCAGGAAAGTGGCGCGAAGGCGGCCAGTTGGGAACCATGTGGCTCAATGAAGGGCGGCTCCCACTCAACGTAAATATGGAGCTACAACCCCCAACTCTCCCACATTTGCATACATCCACTACGGTACTTCCGACAGAACCGCTGCGAGCACAAGACACTGCATCTCGGCCGCCTTTGGGCAACCTGCGAGGGGGAGAAAAAAAGGCTCGTCATCATTTTCTAACTTCAAACATTATAAAGGACAACAGCTGACGCGTTTAGTTGAATCCAACCGGGATTTCATGGACGAGATGGATCATCTGCAGTATCGGACAATCCCAAGAGCGCTGTTTTGTTTTTGTTTTGTTTTTTATATAGTTTTTTTTTGTGTGTGTGGATTTTTATCTATTGCTTTGTTTTTGTTTTTTTAGCCACGTTTAAGCGAAACGAAAAGCAGCATCGTGCATCGAATAATTGACCTGTTGCTTCTTGAATCATTTAAATGTTTGTTTATGTCTCGTGAGAATAACACACAAATTTCTTGGATGGGATTCATTTATTTGTATAAAGGACAACAGCCGACGCGTTTAGTTGAACCCAACCGGGATTTCATGGACGAGATGGATCATCTGCAGCATCGGACAATACCAAGAGCGCTGTTTTGTTTTTGTTTTTTTAAATATAGTTTTTTTTTTTTTTTTTTTTTGTGGGTTTTTTTCTTTTGTTATGTTTTTGTTTTTTTAGCCACGTTTAAACGAAACGAAAAGCAGCATCGTGCATCGAATAATTGACTTGTTGCTTCTTAAATGTTTGTTTATGTCTCGTGAGAATAACACACAAATTTCTTGGATGGGATTCATTTATTTGTTTTTGTTTGTTTGTTTAGCAAACAAACAAAAACAAATAGGGAACGAAGCCGGAAGGGCTTGTACAATATTTCACTCCATTATGAAAATCTTATCCAATGAAACACTTCTGGATTAACAGTACATTAACTACTTGTCTATTCAAAAAGAAAAGATGAATTGGAAAACGAAATAATTTGCTTTGAGTAAACTTGATGAATGTAGAATACAGTGCCAGTCAAAAGTTTGGAAACACCCTCTAATTCATTCTTTTCCTCCATTATTTAAACATTTCCTGAATTGTAGATTACATATTTAAATCATTGTGAATGGAATTATTTGGGAATGAGTGAATCAAAACAGAATGTTTTATAATTTAGAGTCTTTTCAAGTCAGCACCTTTTGCTTTGCACACCTTGGTATTTTCGATGATGTGGATGAGGCTTTCCGGGCTGGAATGGTTTTCACTTCACAGCTATGCATTCTCAAGAATTTTTTTTTTTTTTTTTACCTCTTAATGTGTTTCGACCATTTGAATTTGAAGCTCCTGTCTTGAGTACACATTGCTTATTTGTTAATTTGTTAGTTTCTCAACTCTTGGACACACACAACAAATTCCACTGTACATGTTTTTAACCTTGTATTTAACTTGGACAAATGGCAATAAACTTGATTCTATTCGAAGGTGTTTCACAACTTTTGACTGGAGCTGTGTTTAATCCATTCACAAGACAGCAGCATTTTAATTTACATCAACTTTATATTTTAAAATGTTTCAGCTTCAGACTTAAGGACATCCATCCATCCATTTTCTAATCCGCTTATCCTCAGGAGGGTCGCGGGTGTTCTGTAGCCTATCCCATCTGTTTTTGGGCAGTAGGCGGGGTACACCTTCAACCGGTCGCCAGCCAATCACGGGCACACAGACAAACAACCATTCGCGCTCACAATCACACGTAGGGACAATTTTGAGTGTTCCATTAACCTGCCATACATGTTTTTTGGAAGGTGGGAGGTACTCCGGTGAGTACTGTACCCGGAGAAAACCCAAGCAGAGAACATGCAAACTCTACACAGGAATGCCGGAGCCAGAATCGAACCTTGCACATCTGCACTGTGAGGCGGATGTGCTAAAGTGCCGCCCTGGACTTTAGGACACTTTGTCCAGTTTTAATGGATGTACAGAATTACAATAACTCACGCAGTTCATATCAGCTGCAGCTGGAACAAAGCACTTTACATGTAACATAATAAAATAATACAACTACAAAAGAAAGTGAAAACATCCCGAAAAGTAAATTCACTTTCCTCAGCCGCTTAAAATAATGGCCTGAGTCATATTCTGACTAGAATGATAATTGTTTTTTTTTTCCTTGAGCAACCTGTGGAAATGTTTGTAACCTCTGCTAACATCAGCTCCATCCTCTGTGAAACAGATCTATTCATTTCTACCTATGAAATACGATTCATAATACATTTGAATCAAATCTATTTTTTTTCATGTTTTCTGAAAAAAAAAAGACCCAGGCCATCATTTAAGGAGGGTGATGATTGTCATTTAAACAGTATTTAGCATTAAAGCACAATATGCTCGTTTAGAAACACAAATGTTATACATATTTCTTGTTTAAGATGTGTAGAGATGTGACGGTACAGTTGTCCATTGTCACTTGCAAGAGTTAATTTACTTAAAACCTCAATTCAGATCTGGAGTCATTCATACTTTGTAGGCTGGGGCAATTTTGCACTTTGAACAATGCGAAGCCCTTCCTGCGGCCTGGGATTCGAGAATTCGGATCTCGTCACTTTAAAACACGAAGCTATGAGGGAGGAACAGCCAAAGAGGCCTTGCAACGCCATTGCAAAGAAAGACTGAAAGCGAGCTTTTTATAGCGGCTTCCTGACAAAGTCAGTCACGACCCCCGACCCCCCCCCCTCCCCCCGTCGCCCACCATGAAACCGAAGACACCTTCAGCGGTCAAACGAAATGGAAAATGTCAGATCATTGACTTTTTACCCTCCAAACGGATATTACAGACTTTAGAAAAATGGACTGATTCCTCAGAAAAGCTTTTCAGCGAGAGCCGAGTAAGCTCCAGGTCCGTCAACAACACAGTCTGTGAACCGTCCAGCAGAGGGAACTAACAAACTAAATATTGGACTGTAATGTTGTCAACTGGCAGAGGAAGCGGCCCCCGACTAGTACACGCCACACCAGTTGTGGGAAGTAACTTTTTTTCCCTTCAAGACTTTTCACACTTGCACTTCGGGCTCCCGACATTTGAATGCGAAATTATGCACCGTCTACTTCTTACTAGGCTCGTTGCCTTTTTTCCCCAACCTCCACGGGTAACAAAACCAAGTGAAAAAGATGTCACGAGAAAGCCAACTAACTGCAGTTGAAATCTTGATCGAGTGCTTGAGATCTTTTAGGACCTTCAAAGGCTGATGAAACATGCACATGGAAGGAACACGAAACAGGGCAGCATAAGACAAGAGGGATATTCCATCGATGGCCTTCCTTATTTCAGAGAAATGTTTGCTGTTGCCTGCTCCAAAAAATGATTTATGGCGAATGTGTGGCGTCATCTGCCCACCTAAAACCTTCAAAAAAAAAATTCTCGGTCAATCTGACAAAAACGCATATGGGTCAGGTGCATTTTGGAGGAATCATTGTCATTCGCTAAAGAAGTTGAAAGAAAGCTGTTTAAAAAAGGAGCTATTTTTTTCAGCTTTGTCCAGTGTTTTGTTTCTTTTGCTTCTCGGTACAAGCACGATACGAGTTGATAAAAAAAAGAAACTATTTTGTGGCCATTTTTTTTTTCTGTTGTGTCCGAACACATATGTAATTGGCGGTGACAATACATTGTACCGTTTGCACTTCAGTACATTTTGGAGTCCATACTTATGAACTTTGACTTAAGTTAAGGAGTTGAATCAGCACTTGTACTTGAAGCAGAGTGCTGTTTTTTTTCATTTATTTGTGTTTTTTTTGCGCAAGTGTCTGCACTTCTACACAAGTACAGAGTGTGAGTGTTTTAGCCACATCTGCTTTTCACTCGACAAAACGGTCTTCTCCTCTTGCTAGTTTCTCAACTGAGGTCACGCTCCCCCCCTGCCTCCACCCCAAGCCAACCACCAACCCCCCCCCCCCGACTCCCCACACAAAGCCACTCGTTCGACCAGCTCTTCCGCATGGAAGTGAGATGGGGGTGGGGGCACCAGGCAGCTTTGAGACTTCACATCGTCCCATGGGGCCAGATAAAAGCATACGGCCAGTCTTAGAAGAGCCCTCCCCTCCTCTTCAATCAGTACAAACAATACTTGGACTGATCGAAATGGGTTTGGAGCAGTTTTTGAAGAAAGAGCATTTCAGCCTGTTTTTTTTTTTTTTTTTCCAGTGAATCAAAACAAACTAGTCGCAAGTTCATTTGTGCAAGACGATTCAAAGCACACGTCACAGTGACATTCAAGCCTTGACTTGAGACGCATCCCCTCTGCCCGTTTCTGGACCTTCTTTCTAAACGGCCTAGCACGGTTAAGCTCCTCCCACATCAGGGGCCGTAAACCCGGGGGTCCCTGTTTTGTTTTTCCTATAGAGGCCCAACTGGCCATTGTCTCTTCGTGACCCCAGGGTCAACTGAACTCACCTCGGCTGACCACGGCCTATTCAGCTGTGAAACTCACCAAAAGAAAAAAAAAAAACCACCTCACAAGAATCACTCATCTGCAAACATTTCTACCTCCCTCTTGTGAAGACACCCAAGTTGGGAGTGATAAGACAGAGATTTGAACAATTTTTAGTCAAGATTTTTGTGTTTTCCAAGAAACATAACTGGTCTTTATGTTGGTCCATTGATGTTGGTCTCACTGCAGTATAAAAGTAGGACAGTCCAACTTTCAAGCGCCACCTTGCCAGAAGGGAGCGAGCTACACGTGAACCAAAATGTATCTCCACTGACAGGCCATTATATTAAAAAATAATGATAATAACTGCATTTATCTTGTGTCGCAACACAAAGCCAAAGTAGACCTGCAATCACGGCAATCATCAAAGTATGTGAAAGAGCGTCCCTGGTGACTGAAAGGCTCATGGAAGCTGACAGGTTGAAAATGCGTCGCATGACGTGGCTGAGGGAGCATGAAACGTGTTCATCCATGGATGGCATGCATGTTGCCACAGGAGACACTGGGAGACAATGAGCCGCACTCTGTATTTTGATTTTTTTTACTTTTTTGGTGACAATAATTAAAGATGGATGGATGAGAACATTGTGACGCCACAGCGAGTAAAATCAATTTATTTAAAAAAAAAAAAAAAGTGTTTTGAGTACCGGTGCGTTTCAGTCACTTTCAAGTTACTAAAAAATGTTTTGGGGACAAGGGTATTTCGTGCAAGAATGATACATTTTCATAATGTCTGTCACCATCGTCATTTAAAAAAAAAATCAAAATAAGAAATATTGTTCCATCCCAGAGTGAGTTAAAGCTGATTTTTTTAAAAAAAATAGTGCCACCGCTTCATTTTAAATGTAAAACAATTCTAATTACGGGCAGACTTCAGAGGGAAACCTTCACCATCGTATCTCATTCATATCATGATCTACTGGATGCATGGATGGTAAATATTTGACTATACGAGGGACCCTTCCCCACACGAATCTGTTCAGCTCAACGTGCAGACAGAAGCTCGCAGCATGATGCTATTGAGGGCAGACTGACATTCAATGGCCCTTGCACATCATGAGAAGTCGAATAAAAATACATGCACCCTGAGCAATGTCACACGTCTAATCGCACCCGGAGGAAAGCACAAAAAGCATTTATTTTGTCTTTTTAAAAGGATTGCTCTTCACCTCACAGGTAACATTGCTCCTTTATAACTACCTACTGTTTGTCAAATCAGCTGTCATTTGATACACACACACACACACACACACACACACACACACACACACACACACACACACACACACACGCATCGTCACCATTTGTTGTGTGTGTGTGTGTTTTGATTCAAGCATCATTATTTTTGTGTTTATTGCTTTTGCTTCTTAGATCATGCAAATCGGTCTTGATCAAAATTCTTTTGATGTTTCAGGTTAAAAAAAAAAAATTTTCCCCCAGTGTGATTCAAGCATCATTATTTTTGTGTTTATTGATTTTGCTTCTTAGATCATGCAAATCGGTCTTGATCAAAATTCTTTTGATGTTTCAGGTTAAAAAAAAAAAATCATTTTGATTGATTCTACCAAATCACGATGAATTCACAAAAATTGACTTGAAACCTAAATAAATGTAATGGAAAGGCACACTGACTGCAAATTATGTCAACATTGTTGAAAACTTGGATACAAACCACAAATTAACATTTTTATTTCACCGAATACAATGTTTGTACCATTTTTAAAGTTCTAGAAACGAAATAGTGCTTCAATGCTTGAAGCAGTGGCAAGAGTTTCAACAATTTGGGGTACAGTATTTGGAATAAAAAATAAATAAATACATTGAAAACACACTGTACATATTTACGAAAGATACAAGATGATGTTGAGACCAGAAGACTTGAAAACAGTTTCAATTAGAAATCAGAATTGGTAAATCATTTATTTACAAAGTCTGTGTAAATACAGTATTTGTAATAAAAAATAAATAAATACATTGAAAACACACTATACATATTTACGAAAGATACAAGATGACGTTGAGACCAGAAGACTTAAAAAAACAGTTTCAATTAGAAATCGGAATTGGTAAATCATTTATTTACAAAGTCTGTGTAATCAAGAAGCGATTAGTCTCTCCTAAAAAAAAAAAAAAAAAAAATTCATGATGCGACGCCAGTTTTGGTCCAATTCGTCCTCATAGCGAATGACGTCATTAGCGACGAAAAAAATGGCAAAAGTTAGACTTTGTAGTAAATGTTGGTGGGACTCTGCGGCGAAATCTCCTTCACGATGTAAACAGGGGCTCCGTATTCGCCGCTCAAACGCTCAAAATGTCGACAGAGTCTGCTGTCGGACGCCTGCGGAGGAAAGACGATCTCGCTGCGGTCCGAGCCAACGTTGTCGCTGCTGATGCTGTCCCGCTTTGGCACGGCTAAAGTGTTGAGCGACACAGACGCAGACTGCTGCCTATCTGGGACGCAGCGACGGCACTTGCACAGCACGGCCGACGGGATGGCGATGAGGAGGAGGAGGAGGATCACACAGGCCGAGACAACCCAGATCAACAGTCCTGGCGGTGAGCCACCACCGCCACCGGGGGTGAGCTGCCCTGCTTCTGAGCCCGACGCCGCACGCCGACTGGTCTTTGCAACCCGAGGCCTTCCACTTGAAGAAACACATCAATGCAAAGCGTTAAAGCCGAGACAAAACAAAGACGGAGGAGAAAGATGGCAGGGGCGAACAACTTGTCGCGCCGCTCACGTTTTGTTCAAAAGTGGGTCTGGTCGGCGTCGCTTCACGGGCGGGAGGTGTCTTCACATCAACAAAATGCAGCAAAACATTTTGGTCTGCTCTCCATGACAACTACAGAAACTATCTCGTAGAATAACTTACAGACACTTTCCATCATATTTTATAGTGTGCCTGCGGGCAAACATTTTGTCGTGACTGAAACTAGATTGACTTTGGTTGTTTGCGTTTCTGGGGCCTGAAATCCCAAAAATTTGAAAATGCTTCACATCGGCGCTAAATACTGCCTGTGAAAATGGAAAACATGTCAGCCCCGCAGTATGAGTTCAGTCTGGGCATGCACAAAACAACGATGGCGGAGCACAGCAATATTGTTGGGCTTGTGCTGCTCCGGATAATGAGTTTCATCACACCTCTCCGCTGCGATTCACATTCCTTACACACTTCTCGTTCTAAAGTCACACATATGTTGACATTTTTGTATTGGGGGGACGGGGGGGAGACCGTGAAGAAAAACAGCCGCGACACATACGCTACTTTTTTCACATTATCAAGTCCTGGCATTCTGTATATATTTTATTATATTTTCCGAAGGGTAAAAGGAAGGCGTTTAGGGATTATTGAGCTCTTTATCTGATCTTAAACAGTCATTTAAGCAGCCAGAACATCTGTGCTGCAGTTTCATTACATAGTGTAGTACCCACTCAGTTTAGGATCCAATGACCGTACTTGCTATGTAAGGCGCTTTGGCCAAAGCAGAATACGAGCGTTCCAATTCAGTCAACATTGCCGGTGCTCAATGGTCAAGTAGATTCCTGATCTGCAAATTTTCGCTAATCTGTTGTTGGACCAATTAAGCATTGGATTTTGGCCAACAGCCACATGCCAGTGTTGTTCGTTATCATGACTCATACTAACGAACATCATCGGTGTGGCCTTCAGGGACAACTAAGGCGCTAATATGTTGCCACGGAAAACCACGCAGCCCTCCATTTTCTATCTGCAGTTTTCCCGTTCAGAGTCTCAGACAGCTGGAGCCGATCCCCACTCACGAAAAGCTTGGGTTGGTTGCCAGTCATTCACAGAGTACATATCGAGACAGACATCCCTTTCCCACCTCCATTCAGACCACATTGAGTGAGAACTCACTCCACGCTGTCTGTGGAAAACCAACGAATGGCACCAAATCGAACTGGGCCATTCCTGTGCAGTGGAAAATGGAAATTAATGGGCCAGTTTCATCATTTCAGTAACTCAAGAAGTTAGACTAATTGTAGTCATCGTCCTTAAAATTGCCAGTGAACGACCCAATCCCTTCCTTAACTCTACCTAAGGAATTTTTCAAAACATGATTTCAAGTAGTCCAGTTCTGAGCCCTGGTCTAGCATGAGGCACTGTTTAAATCTGCACAGAGGCAGGCAAGTCTGGCTTTTGATATTTTTGCCTGACGCACGCAGCTTGGCGCGGTTGAAATCTTTTTTTTATTTTTGCGCCGTTGTGGGTGTGAACACAGCCGACTTGATTGCTCGCCACTTGAAGCGGCTCCTCTCATTCTCGTTCTAATCGGCACTCGAGATGTGACATCGTGAAAGGAGGAAAGGAATTGCAAGTAGACCTCCACGGGTGTATTCTGTCAAGTTGGCCAGCGCAATCACAGATCATCTTTACGTCCGTGTTGCTTTTTTTTTTTTCTAAGTTGAGGATATTTTCCAAACGTATTTCACAGGTTTGGAGGTCGGGAGAGGGGTGCAAAAATGTTCTAATGAGCTGCATTTTACTGTCAGTGAAATATTGAACTTGCCAGTTTTGTTCTTGATATCATGATCTTCAGCTGCATCCTTTGTTTTCGGTTGTAGTTTTGTCGGTGAAAATCTGGTCGGGGATTCCTGAAGTGTTAATCGAGGATCTGAAGAACCTGCAACGAAAGCAATTGAACACATCAAGAAACGGAAACATCCACTCTTCGCAAGGCGCAAAGTGAAATCTGTCGACGTGCCTTTTATTTCTTTCTCCCAAATATTACTTTGGGTCTTTTCAGTAATTCTAAGCTAAAATGATTTTTTTTTTTTGCGCTCATATATTCTATCTCACACTGCATTCACTTTATCAATAATGTATAGCTGCTAACTTAATTGAAAGTTCAATTCCAAGGCAAAGGCACAAAGCTTGCTTTTCTAAAGATGATGTGTTGAATGTCAACGACTCTCATTCATGCCATTAATATATGCACACGTTTAACTCAGGCGGGCGACTAAATCCTTTCAGTGGTTACTGGTTTCTGTTGCTGTTAAAATGTTTGCTTGTGCAATGGCGTTTTCCAAAGGCAACATGAAAGCAACCCCCGTATTTGCAAGATCAGTTGACAAACACACAAAATCCTGAATTTCCATGTTGAAGTCCCACTCTTCAATTATTCATGTGAAGCATACTGCAAAACTGCACTTTGGGCCATCAACAAATTCAGAATTTCCAAGCATTTAGTTTGCTCACACATAGTGGACTGTCCGATATTTCCAAACGCTCTCAAATACGGCATCGCACATTTGGAAAAAATGTGCAATCACGACCATATTTATGTTTGACACCCATCATGTTCATATGATGTGTGTGTTTATTTTAGTATCTCACGAAGATAAGCGTCTTCTGTGCATGATTAGTCAACATTGAGAGAGAAAATTGAAGAGTGACTGCCATCTAAATGATCGCACGAGAGTCCGTACTGATGGCGTGTAGCCGTTGGAGGTTTGAAGTAGGGATGGGAGATTATTGACGACAGCAGATTATCCAACCCTTTAGGAGGCGGTGGCATCATTATATTGCTTTTGGAAGCTAACACTTCATCTGTATACATACTGAACATCTCTCTGTCTCATGTTAAGTTGTGATGCTTCCAAACATATCTATCCACAAGGTCTTACTTTGCCCGACTCTTAGCACCATCTTCATGGATTTGGTCCTGCACACTCCTCCATTCGTGTTATCCAGACCTTGCAGAGAGCCTGTAGATGTGGCTGATGCAGAGAGCAAGCGAGCATCGTTAGTCCAACTGAAGCTATTGTAAAAGACGATGATCACACACGCGGTAGTTGCGAAATGTTGCATCACTTTTGGGAAGGAAAATGCAGACGTGCAGACAAACTGCAGCAAGGCACCTGAAGCAAATACTGTCATACTGTCACCCGTCCCATTATGTATACATCAGAAGCAATTGGTCAGTTGTTTGATGCTTGGTTTTGATTGACAAGGTTCAAAATTGGACAATATGTTTGTGACTGTCGTTGTAGTTCATGGTCCTTTAGCACAGCACCGCTTGCTTTATGGGAGGTGTTTCTTGAAGATTGTTGCTCTCAACAAGCTACACAAGGAAACCAAAACGTCAAGAATCGAAGAGATGATTATAAATCTGCACATGACTGCATTAGCACACAGGATAGGAATCAAAACCCAGTCATTCAATTTCTAAGAATCGTTTCGTTTGCTAGCTTGACAATTCAGCTTATCAACTTCTCTTATGTTGCAAATGAGTGATGACGTTGATGGTATGCTATAAACCATGGCGGCCCGGTGGTCCAGTGGTTAGCACGTAGACCTCACATTGCAGAGATTGTGGGTTCGATCCCGGCACCGGCCTTCCTGTGTGGAGTTTGCATGATCTCCCGTGCCGGGTACTCCGGTTTCCTCCCACATTCCAAAAACATGCATGGAACTCCAAATTGTCCCTAGGTGTGAGTGTGAGCGCAGATGGTTGATGATCTCTGTGTGCCCTGCGATTGGCTGGCAACCAGTTCAGGGTGTCCCCCCGCCTACTGCCCAAAGACAGCTGGGATAGGCTACAGCACGCCCTGTGACCCTTGTGAGGATGAAAATGGATGGATGGATGGATGGATGGACATAAACCATCTACTGTACAATATCACCGTCCATCATTTATAACGTTATTTTAGATTTCATTGTTACGCCAAATAGGAGCCACTACTGCATATACTTTCTTCATTTTGGCTACTACTGGAACAGTCTATCTATTTATCTGGATACCTTGCAAGCTACCAACCTAGCTAGCTTCTACCTGTATCTAGCTAAGTAGCGAGCGGTCGTCCATCTGTATGGTGAGCTAGCTAGCTAGCAGCTACGTTCTTACTATCTATCTATCTATCTATCTATCTATCTATCTATCTATCTATCTATCTATCTATCTATCTAATCTCATCTCTGCCCAACACGGAGAAGGCGATTTAAAGATCTCCACCAACCAAAACCCTGGAATCTGTAGCATTTTTGATTAAATAAATTATCTCCATAAATTATTGAGCAAATAAAATTTTTATTGGACAGTTGATGGCTGAGCTAAATAAACTTTCAGCTCTAGATGCAAAAGGATTATTGAATAAAGTTAATACATGTGCCTTTGCAGTATAAAGAAGGAAATCTACACCAAGAACTCTGTGTCACCCCAGTCGCAAGCAAACTCCCGCGCCTCCACACAAAGACGAACACACAAGTACACACTTGTTCGGAGCATTTAGGTCAGATAACAACATCGCACAGGCAACGCTCCACGTTGCCATGAAAGCTCGCGTCAAATCTGCCTGATGCTGTAAAAGCCTCATGTGATTTGGGGCATGTAAGCCCTCAGAATGGGCACTGTCCTGCCAGAGCCGACCGAGTGTGCTGTCAAAGCGCCGCGAGGCGGGGGAGGCTGTGCGCTCACACTTGTTCACGATCTCATGCATCGCTTGGCGCTAAGATGCGCTGCTTCGACTGACAGCAGTCCGATAACAAGGCCACGGCGACTCTCACGCCAGCTGACAAATCGAGAGTGGGGGCGGAGGGGGAGGGGCAACAAGGATGATGGCCTCTTGATGGATCAGGATGGGTGGCTGTAAGGGGATGCTGCTACGTAAAAACACCTGTAGGACCCAATCGGGTTGCGGCTCTCATCTGACGATGCTCACCTACTCCCAAAGAAGGCGAATTACACAGCGATAAATGAACTTACAAGTGATGTAGTAATCCTTCCCCTTGAGGAACTCCAGCCCCCACAAGTTGGGGCTGAACTCCTGGAACTTGAACGTGAACTTGACATCCCGGTGCGGCTTGTCGCAGTTGAGCAGGGGGGTGTTTGTCTTGTCTATAGTGCAGCTCTCCATCTGACTTCGGGAGACCAAGTAGATTCGGTAGAACTCTTCCTTTTCGCCCTTGGCGGCATCCGCCCTTGGACAGACAATGTCCATCTTGTCCCCAATCTGAGGGGAGAGGACCAGACCTTGACCTGGAGTGAAGCTGTGAAGAACGACAATACGCAGTCAACAATGACCTGAAGAAAAATACGTTTTGTTCATTTCCTCAAAAGGAATATGCCTCAAATCACAGATCGAGGACAGCAAGAGCTCAGTTTGCTGACCTAAACGGAAATGTTCTGATCTTGGATGTCCTTCATCAGTACGGGTTTACATGCCTCAAATCACAGATCAAGGACAGCAAGAGCTCAGTTTGCTGACCTAAACGGACGGCACCGGATTGAAGGTCAACACCCACTGCAGGTGAGCATCGTGACACCAAAACGGCTGCTGCGGCACCGTTTCTCAGCACCAGTTACTGTAGCTGCCTTGCTTGCATGTCATTTTGGGAGACTCATGCCCTTGTATAATGAAAATCCCACATTAAGAAGTAATTATTTCATGTCAAAACATGTATGTCACACTTATTTGCACCATTGATGTTCAGACTTTGCACAAGCTCCTTTGGCCAAAAAAAGGGCATCGACTTTTCTCCGAAAATGTTTCCAAAGATGGGAGAATACCGAAAGAAGAATCTTCAACTATTCCTCTTAGCACAATCTCTCTAAATCAGCGGTGTCAAAGTGCGGTCCGACAGAGCCCCTATCCAGCCTGTTCTAGATGTCTCCGTCTTCCGACACAGCTGATTGAAACAATCAGCTCATCAGCAAGCTTTAGAGAAGGCTGATCACAATCCCGATCATTTTGATCGGGTGCTTTGGAGGAGGGAGACATCTAAAGCAGGCGACCTGGGTCCTCTCTTGTGCACTCTCTTCTTGAGCTGACTCCACAGGTTTTCAAGGGGTTTGAGGTCTTGGGACTGAGATGGCCACGGGAGCAGCTTGAGTCCGGTGAACCAATTTCTACCATTTTCAGTATGATATAAAACTTGATTTTGTGTGAAGGCTTCTAACATGTCTTAACCAGGGGTGCCAGCAATTATGCAGGTGGCCACTTTGATTAAAAAAAAAGAAAACACAAAGCCTTAAACTATACACCAATAAACATTTAAATCATGGGCAAATCGTTTCATGAATGCACGAATAGTAAGTCCATCCCCGTTGTGCAAAGATGACCATCATAACAAATACGAGAAAGTACCCACTTTGTATTGCCGCTGCTCCAGAGGATGGAGTCCAGAGTGATGGCCCGACATGAGCTCATGAGGAAGGCCAGCAGGACGACGGCACCGTGGCTCCACGTGATTCTTCTCCCCATCACGGGACAAAACCCACGCGCGGGCTGGCTACCATAACACGCGGCGGGGGCAGGTCAACGTGCGTTGCCCGTGCGCGTGCGGCGCCGTCAGGTGCATCCTGCGGCGAGATGCCCCATTAAGTTGCGGCCGCAAGTTCATGAAGCCTTCCACATTGGGAGTAATTGGCGAGGAAAAGGTCTGGCGTGACCACATTCGCCCAGCGAGGAATGAGAGATTGTGTGCTGTGTGTGGAGCAGCTCAGCCATCAGCTGAGCGGCCGGCCCGCCCCTTTGCCGGCTCGTGCGTGCGGGGGGCCACCCGGGTTGGTTGGCGCATTTTAGACACGCTCGCATCACATTGGATCCTTGGAAATGGTACGGGACCCAGTTTTGATCATTCATAATTTAATTAAGTCTGCAGCTGTCAAGATTCATGGACTGCAAAATGATTGCATGGCAGAATAATCATGTTTCATTGCAGATTGTTTCTTTGAGTCGTGCGCTTTGCATTGGCTTCTTAAGATCCAGTACACGCATCACACTGCAGTGTTTCTCATCTTTTATTGAGCCAAAGCACATACTATACATATTCTCATGAGAAGAAATTCACACTGCATCACAAAAAAAAAAAAGTCACAGAGTACTGTGAGCATAATGTAAAGGATTGATGATCTCATCTCACACATTGAATGACTCATTGATTCAATATATATAACGTATATGAAATACACTAATAGATGTACAACTGCTCTGAAGATCAAGTCTAAAATGAATGGTTTCTTACAGTCAACATCAATCACAAGCATTACTTTCACTCTATGGCAAGCAAACAATGTGACTGAGAAGTCATTTTTGAACATATCATCCACAGTCATGGTTTCATGAAATAAAACACACACGAGCGCCGGTCTTGCGGACAAACGCATAATACAAGCAGGAACAGACTGAAGTAAAAAGCAACATTTAGAACAGTGAAGAGATTTTTGTCTCATTGCATTTTTGAGATGTCGTTTGAATGAATGAGCCATTTATCCATCCATTTTCTGATCTGCTTTATCCTCACAAGGGTCGCGGGGCGGGCATGCTGGAGCCTATCCAAGCCGTCTTCGGGGAAGTAGGCGAGGGACACCCTGAACCGGTTGCCAGCCAATCGCAGGGCACACAGTGACAAACATCACATCACACTCATACACATTTAGAGTGTTCAAACCGTTCTGATTAGCTGTTAGCGATAGCGAATCAGTGCATGAGACACACAAACACACACACACACACGCACACACACACACACACACACACACACACACACACACACACACACACACACACACACACACACACACATAGGGCACGACATACAGAGTTGGGAATTGCCGTCATCGTGAAATGCAGCCCATGTCCCACCTTCTTGGTTGGGTGGCTCAGAACGCAGCCTGAGGTTAAGCTTTTTCTTTTGTGAAAATGTCTCCCTGTCAAGCAAACTGTTCTTATAAAATGAGATCTCATTCGACTGGCTAGGTGAACCTCAAGGAGTGTCTGTTGAGTGCCTGGTTAATGTTCGTGGCGCCGCTGCAGGCAGCACATCGCCGTGAAGGACGTTTGTGCCTGTACCCGTGACCTTCAAGCGTCCGCACACAATAAACATGCAGGGAGAATTTTAGACAAGCTGTGAAGCCACGAATAATTGAGCCTCCATTTGAAATTTTTCCATAAAGAAGTCAAGGAATCAATGAATATGTTTGCTTCTACTATTATTCACCAGAAGATTGATCAGATTAAAAGCCAAAAAGCCATTTTTGCTTGTGAAAATAATTCTCTTTATCACCACAGTGTTATGAAGAGAAACCCCGTTACTTATTTAAACTTTGCGCATTTAGAAAAGCAATGCAGTATATAAAATAAATTCATTAGTGTCAGATGAGATTTTGAGTAGATGATGCGGGTCGCTTAAAAATGGCCCCCGGGCCATTGTTTGGATGCTTCTGGGCGAAGCGGTCTCGAAAATGGATGGCTGGATCTCTTGAACAGACATTTATGGCTCAACAAAGTCAATCAAAATAAAGTGAAACGAACACGTCATATTGTTGTGCCTGATTTGAAATTTTGCTGGCCACATTGGGATGGAGTTTGAAATCTGCTTTTCGGAAGACGATGCAGCAATCCCCATTTTTAGGGAACTCTGAACTAATGACATAGTGTTTTAAAAGATGACATGATCTTCTACGACAAGGCCAAAGCATCACAAATGTGTTTGTGTCTTGAAGAGAGAGAGAGAGAGAGAGAGCGGCATACGCTCAAAGTGCTGAGCATCTTACATGTTTAGAATTCTTTTAAACGTTGGAATTTGCCGACTATAAAGTCAGCATGCACAGTGGCACTTTGTAAACATGCATAAATACATACCGTACGACTGCAATTTCATGAGCTGAATCAACCCTAAGATACGTCTATATTTTATTTATGTGACGGTCCTAAAGCGAACCCTCCTTTCACAGCAGTGAATACATCTCAAATACGAAAACAGCGATTTTATAGATGATCATGTTAGCAAACAAATGCTGAACACATAAACTGTCATGACGCTAAGAGGGCACAAGAAAGGAAACAGATCATAAAAGGTCATCCTTTCTGATTCAATTATTTATACGGGCTCAACAACTACATGCTGAAAAAAAGGGTCTCGCAATCATGGCGGTGTCAGAAAGAAAATGCCAAAAGTTGCTCCACGCAGCTGGTACCTTTTGGAGCTTTTTATTTCTGGCCCATATTCCTCAGTCGTGGCAATGAGCTCCAATGATCTTTCACGGCTGCTCCCAAACTGAAGCTAATGCTAACAATGGCAGGTGTCCGATGAAATCAACCCCTATCACGATTAGCATTAACTTCATTCTGAGACTTTTGTGATCATCACCCACGTGCCCGACTCGCTTTTGGTGGAATGCTGAAAGAGATCATTTTGAACAGTCAACCTTAAGTTGCTTAAAAAGATACCAAACTCTGTGACAGCATCAAACAATTCAACATTGTACTCTGTTGTTTCAATGTCGGCGCTGTTACGAACTAAAATATGACGAGAAAGCCAAGAGATGTTTTGGAATGGCTGCTGCGTGTTAGGTATTCACTGACCTGTCTTGATGGAGCCTGACTTCCTCTTTCCCCAACGGGTGCGAGTTGACTGCGTCTCTTCCCTCTGCCCTGAGAGCAGCGCATCTGAATGTGAGTGTCTTTTAAACATTAGTACGTGACTCATGTGAAACCCCCTTTGAAAGAGTATCAAGAAAATCACATAGCAAAACTTTGTTGCCAATTGCCATGTGTCCTGTATGTAAATGCTGCCTACAGAAGTGATGTGTTTTCATTTCTTGAATCTTACCAGGTTATTTACAGTTATGCTGGGAACACTAAGAAAATACGGTAGATCAGTAACGCACTTATGTAATTAGGTCATGAAGCATTTGGGAAAATGGGTGCACAATTTTTTTTTAACTCCTTAGTTAGATGGACACCTTCCCTTTGTGTGGAGTCTTTAATGGTCTCCCGTGGGTTTTGATCCCTGCTCCTGCCCGACCTTTGATTTGATAAACACTCATGTCTAATGCAGTGATTCCCAACTCCCGTAGAAAATGGTTCAATTTCACTTTGGTCCAAATATTATTATGCAATTACTACATATACTGTATCTCTGTTCATCTAACTGTGCCAGTGACACACTATATACAGTAATCCCTCGTTTGTCGCGGTTAATGGGGACCAAAACCACCCGCGATAAACGAAAATCCGCGAAGTAGCGTCCAATTAACATAAACGGGTAAAAAAAAAAAGTTTTTTTTAAAGTCCGCAAACGGTCCGCGAGAAGCTGCAAAACAACAGCGAGTCACATAGAGCAACATATACAGTACTGTACTCCATGTATATTTAAAAAATTTTATAAAAAGATATATATATATATATGTTTGAAAAAATCCGCGATGCACTGAACCCGCGATAAACAAACCACAAAGTAGCTAGGGATCACTGTATAATGACAGACCGAACAAATCACTGCTCTTTCACTAGATGGCGGAGGGTAAAATTAATCTGTGCCTCATTATGCTCATTATGTTCCCATTCGTACAACACAATAAAAACGTATTTGAAGTCATCTAATACTTTATGCTTTGACGTGTGCAAGGGTTTCTTTTATTGTAAAATATATGCCTAGGCTCAATAAAGTATTGGAAATACTCATCTAATGCTAGCATCAGACTGCCATTTACTGTCAACTGTTCAAGGGACAGAAATCAAAATATCACACGATCTGGAGAGCAAATTCAAAGGTTACTGCTTTGTTTATTTTTATCAAATCAATCATCTGACAAACTACACTACACCCACAAACTTAGTTCTTTCTGATGCGTTCAATGACTAGCATGTTAGCATGTTAACATCAGCTTTCGCTGGTGTAGAATGAAACATCACGACTGTGAGCATGATGTTAGCATATTAGCATGCTAACTTCCGCCTTTGCTGCGAAGCGCTAAAAATCACGACTGCGAGCATGACGTTAGCATGTTAGCATGCTAAATTCAGCCTTTGCCGTGTAGCGTTAAACACCACAACTGCGAGCATGACGAGCAATTAACTCTTAAGGTCTTTTGACACAACAGCTACTCTGGCTTCATGCAAAGCATCTTTCCATCCAATTTAACATGGCAAAACCAAACACAACAGACGTAGTAGCATTGTGCTAATTACGTCACGGTTTGCCTCTCTGGACAAGAAAAAAAGCAATGTTTATAAATCCCCGCATAGGCGAATCTAAAATAATGCGTGGGAACAATGAGTTTGGCATGCACACAAAGCTAAACTCTCCACACTTACACATTTAATTGTGTCAGGTGCTGAGATGAATTGAACCAAAAATGTCAGTGATGGGAGTGTCCCATCATGGGGATTTTGAAAGCCACTCTTTTCCACTAAATGACTGTAAGTGAGTGCTCAATCCTCATTATGCCTTCTCACCCAGGTCAGCGCTGTGCACCGTTTGCATGTGATCACCCAACGACCAAGACATAGCGATATGATTCAGAGAACACTAGGTGCATCCCCATCGACTCTCACAAGCATTAAATGGTAGTCCACATGCAAACCGTCCGATTGCATCCTTTGTAGAAACAAACAGCATGCCGGCGATTGAATCAGGAAAGCAAATGTGAAAGTAGTTGTAGTTGACTGGCTGGCATGAGGGGGTGGGGGAAGAGTCGACAAATCAAGGGGGGGGCCCCTGCGATGTGGAAATTCACCACGGAGGTTTGATCACTGAGCAACATTTTTGCTGTCTTAAACTCTTTGCATGAATCACTCAGTGTTTTTTCCCCCCCACGTGGGCTTCATAGATGACGTTACACCGTTTTCCGTCATCTGTGTTTTCAGCAAAAGGTTCAAAAGACATCCAGCTGATATCATCTGATAACATTTCACCTGCTCTCTTTCAGACGCGTGTGGCGTTTGAAGGGGGACGATCAGCGTTTGCTTTCTTCTCATCAAGACATGATTATTATATTCAAGGAACAGAAATCAAAATATCACGCTATCTGGAGAGCAAATTGAAAAGTTGCATTTACCGCAGAAAGTCCAGAAAGTGCATCATTTCAACAGCAAACCAATATATTCGACTCACACCATGAGCCCCAAAGTGCAGCAACGCAGCGTCGTCTTTCATTCTGTAACATCAAAACATTTGGTTTCCCCGATTTGAACCCTGCATCTAAAATTAGCAGATTTAAAGGAAGCGTGGGTGGTCTTAAGAGGGGAAAAGAGTCAAGCTCCTCACGATTCAGTTCCACAAATTAAAGATATTTTCTGTGTTTGGTCGATCCATCAAGTTAGCAGCTGTATTCCTGGTGATTACACATCTTAAAATAAATAAGGAAAGTTTTTTTTTCCCCCAGCAAAAAAACATAGCATATATTGCAACATGTTTAAGTTGTCAGGTCGGCAAACAAGAGACACAAACAAGTCACTGGCATGTTATAGCCTACAACTACATAAACTATGTTGATTCGGTTATTTCAAAAAAATTTCAGTGACACTTTTTATGAGTATCAACAAAGCTCAAATATTTTTGGGACATTTTGTTCCAGTAAAGCTCATACTTTTGGGGGGAAATTTTTAACCAAACCGTATGACATAAAATACTGGTATGACAAATACAAATAAATAAAAAAAGATTTCATCGATATATGTGATTGAAAACTGTCTTTCAAATTTCCAAATATTAAAAATAAAATCCAATAAAATGTATCAGCAAAACAACTGAAATCTTTTGATTGAGCTTGTGCAATTTAAACACACAAATAAAGTTAGGGGAAAACTGATCTGAATTATCTCTTTTTTTTCCCCGATACTGCTCTCATGAATAAGTTTGCCCGATCATGTTATCTGAATTCGGTGCATTTTTACTTTTCCTTTTTATTCGTCATCATGATGGTAGAGGCCCCAGAAAGCAGGCAGGCAGGAAAAGCAAGGTGGACTGAACAAAATGTATGAACAAAACATTGGAAAAACTGAATCGAAAGCATTAACAAAGTCTTGAAAAGATCAAACTTCAAAGTAACAAAATATCAGTAACTGAATCACGACTATGAGAAACAAAACATGACTTGAACAGAACCAAGACAACAGGACAGTAACACAACGACCCGACGAAGACCGACAGAACCCAGGAAACTAAATCCAAGCAAGCTGACGAGACAACAAGGAACACCTGGACAAGATGGATGACAACAGGTGAGCACAAAAACAAACGAGGAAACAAAACCAAGTTTGAGACGCCCTCATGTTAATTGTTATCTGAAATGTAGTGGCGATAAAAGGGCCAAATTATTCAAATACGGAACGAACATCGATTGCTATTGTGTTGAGCTGTGAAAAAAAGAAAACAATATGCAGTTTCAAATTCAAGGATGCAATAAGAATACATGCTATTATTATTGTTATTATTATTATTATTATTATTATTAGTAGTAGTAGTAGTAGTAGTAGTATTTATATTATTAAACTGTTAAACGTGTACTTTTCACATTTCAAATTTGCAATCATTTGAGGTCACCCACCTTCTCTTTTTTCTCATGGGCCACACATGAAAAAAAAAACGGAATAGTAGCGACATCTATAGGAGAGCGTCGGCTATTGCAGATGAACCCATTCCAATTTTCTTTCCGATTCTGAAAGTGGAACTATCTGCTATTTAGAAGATGACACAACTCGTTTTGCTTCATTTGATCGTGTTTTTAATATTGTATGAATTCTATTGAGAATTACAGAGTGATTTGGAAAATCCCTAAAAGTCGGAACATTGGGAATTTACATCATCAGGACAGTATCTAAATGGCTGTGAACGATGCGGAATAACTCACTAAAATTTAAAGCACGCACAAATAATCCAAAAGACTGTGAGAGGAAAATGTCCGGGAGCAAATAATGGTCTTCAAACTTTCTAAAATAGAAAGCTATGCGTCAGGATGGTTTTATTCGTCTGAGATTCGAGAATACAAATAATGAAGAGATTCGACTGCATTGCTATCAACAGCGTTCGCTTTATTTATTTATTTTTTTTTAGAATCCCAAAATGCTTTTATTGTCATCTCAAGAACGCGATCTCGCTGGCATTCAACGCAATGTGGACTGATTACATATTCCTGGAAAAATGTAAAAACAAATGCATGTGTCATTTTTGTTGTGACATAAAAAAATGTCAACGAAATCCTGGACAAGCTTAAACGAATCTTGGGAGATTTTGCAAATACGGTTGCAACTTTGAAATATTTGCAGTCTTTTTTTTTTAAGTGCATTCCGTGCAGCTTTACCAAATGAGCATGCCTAGGAGAAGAAAAAAAATCAGATTGTGGAATACATGTTGTAGCGGCGTTCATAGGAGGATGCCTATGAAGCAATCGCACACAGGAAAGAAAGGTGGGTCAGAGAGGGAAAGAGAGCGAGAGCGAGAATTTTAATCGTCGCACGGCTCTCCTTCTTTCTCTGTCTCTCGCTAGATCTCGCACACCAAAAAGCAGGTAAGGCACACATTTTTCATTTGCACATTTCGTTTTGGATCGTCGCTGACTTTTTGGGGTCACGCAATCATTTGGCTTTACCGCGTGCGCTACAAATGTACCCCTGAACAAATGCACCGCATGCTGTCAAGGAAAAGCCAATGATTCTGTGTTCATATTTTATAGAGCAAAGTAGGTGTGACTTCATGTATGTATTCTGTTCCCTTGCCCAAATGACTCAAAAACAGGCGGGGTGTAGGCGCATGTTTGAAGAAGAGGCCCCCAAGGCGGCTTTGGCTCCAAGAAATCACACATTCTTGACTCTTTAGTCATGACTTTGTACTAGAACATTGAGCGTGGTGCACAACACACAATGTGTTTCGTTGATTGAATCTGAACGTGTCAACAAACTAGCCGCTGCATAAGCACCCTTATATGACGGGAAGCTCAAGATGTAGTTATGCGGCACGCGGATGGCGCCATGCAAGAAAGTTGGGTAGGAATAACACCAAGCCTCAAAAGTACATGCTTTGAGATTTGAGACACGATGCAGTCCCTTTTGCAAACAAACCAGAAGTTTGCGGTAAATACATACGGGCGAGGGGGTGATGTGGAAATCTTCGGCAAGTTGCACAAGACACCCGCGTTCGTATGCAATCGTGCATTTTGTTCACGTTACATGGCAAGTGAGTTTTGTGAACAAGATGAATCAAGCACATTCAAGATGACGCACTTTGTCACTGTTTCAGCATCAGGATGCCCTCAATGGCTGCCATGAATGAAACACAAAAGGTGGAAAAACTTGCAAACAGCCCGAGCAGCTTTTGGCAGGCAGAGGCAGTCCGAGGAGTCCAGATTACTGCTACCCTGCTCATTTTCCTGGTGGGTGACGGATCCCCTTTATTCATAAATATCTCCTCTGTGTCTGCAGGATGGCCCAGAGTGTTTTTTTTAAAGAAATACGATATGGAAGTCGTTACTTTCGGGGCAACATGGCAGCCACGTGGTCTGCCTCGACGGTTCCGAGGTCCCAATCTTGCTTGGGTTCCTAACGAGGTTAACTAAAGAAATAACTTAACCCAAAATAAATATCTTGTTACCCGAGTGAAATAAAAAATGAAAATGCTTTTTAAAAAATGAAGACTGACCAGTACATCTGATGTTTACAAAAGGAACTATAATTACAGTAAAAATTAGCTGCCATTTTAAATGGGTTTATTTTGATATTGCTTTACATCTGTACAGAAGAAGTAAGGCTAACCAGTTGAATTATAGTTTGCTTTTGTGTTTTCTTTTTCTTTTTTTTTGAACTTGCACACAACAGACACTCCATATATTCCAAAAAACTAAAACTAATACTAAAACTAATCAAACCAAATGTAAAATGAAACATTTTCAATAAAATAAAGACCAATAAAAATTTGAAGCAAACAAAAAAAAAAACCTTCGCTCTTAAAAACAAATAAAAAACGAACTGAATTGAAAGAACAAAAAAAAATCACACCAAATAGACAGGAACTGTCATGAAAAATCCACAACTCTTCCAACCCCGGTTCCCAGCATCATCAGGAGCTTTTGAAAAGACAATCCTTGTCATTCACGAATGAAGCGATTTCTTTGGAGCTGTTCGCCGCTTCAGAATGTCCTACACGTATGCCACTGTGAGGTCCAACTGCGGAAGAGTGTTTTGAGCGTCAGCATCACAGTCGGGAGCTTTGCAGATTCTCCACGTGCGCGTGTGGGTTTTCTCGGCGTACTCCAGAAAAACATGAGTCGTAACATGAAGCAACATAAAACAATAAAACTCGTCATTGCAAACTGGGATAAAAGACCAAAACGAAAAGTGCATTTGAGGACTTAAAAACAGGACATGAACCGACCTGTCGAGTGTGCAGAGGCAGCGCCGGCCCGGCGCATTTTAGTTGAGGTGGTGGTGTTGACGTCAAGGATTTGTTGTTTCCATTTGGAAAGGAAATCTTCCTTTTTTTTTTTTTTTTTTAAATTTACTTTTGACCGATATGATAAGCATTTGTTTGCTCCAAATCAATTAATCACAAAAATTGAGCAAGACAGTATTTTTTTTTTTTTTTGCTTTTCTTGCTACCATCTTTAACGCAACTTTCCAAAATGTCTTGGTAGGATTAAGGAATGGAGATTTGGAGGAAACTCAGGCGCGGGGTGGGGGCGCATACAACAACAGTTCAATGAAGGTGTTGTTTCATTGTTGAAAACAAATCAAGGACCGTATGACCCCAAATTTAGATTTTAAAATGATGCAACTGGTCTATAAATCGCTGAACGGTGTAAGTCAGGGTGTCCAACTTTAATCCTATTGGAACATAAACCCAGCAGGTCTCTGAGGTCTGCAAACTTGGGCCACTTCATGGAACCCACAGTTCAAAGCAAACATGGTGAAGCGGCATCTAGCTGTTATGCTGCTCACAAATGGAATAAGATGCCAATACAAGTGAACTCAGCTCCACATAAAAATGTCTTTAAATCCCAGTTAAAAATGTTTCCCATACCTACGATTGAGGTGTTTCAAAGCATTTTAAAAATCTTGTTCTCTAAAATGTTGTACTTGCACCGTACCTCCTTTTAGTAATTTCCGCAAGCTAAGTTTTATGTCTGTAGATGGCTGCGTCTTGATCTGCGTATCAGATTTTTGAGGCAGCTTGACGACCATTCTTTACTTTTGTGTTTTGTTTTTTTTTCTTTACCTTAAGGTGGGCGTACCTTTAAACGTGCTGGTGGTTTGGGCGCTCGGACAACGGCAACGCCGTCTCATCCGCAGAGGCAGCAAGGAAGAGACTCGCGCCGCCAGCAGTTTCCGAACCTACGTCCTCAACCTGGCGCTGGCGGACTTGGTGCTGATCCTGCGGACGCCCCTCATGTTGGGATACCTGGCTCACAACAACAGTTGGCCGTTCGGTTTGGCCTTATGCCGGCTGGTCATGTTCCTGCGAGGCTTGGGTTTGTACATGTCGGCCTT